TGAATRTGTTTTGTTCTTGATCATTTTGGTTTTTGCCTGTTTAATGTTACTAGTCTCTTTYGTTCATGGGACTTTTGAATAAAAGCCCTGAATTTTTGAGCTGACCAGAGACCCCTTCATATGCAAGCACTGGATCTATCCTGAGATTCAGAAGCAGAAGTTCATCCACCTTTGATATGAAAATACTATGAAAATCCACGTTTTTACATTACAYGGGCAAGGCAAATTATGGCAACCAATCCTTCTGTCACTGCTGAGGAGGATCAGGGTCTCCCAGGTCAGGTTTTCAGCAGGAATTGAATAAACTCTGTATTGTGTCCCATGCTGGTCCTCACAATCAAGAAAGTTGTGGAGAGGGTCAAAAAGAGGCCCATGAAGATGATCAAAATGATGGACAATGGGGGCAGTGAATGAGAACTGAAGGAATTTCTCCCTGGAGGAAAGACAGCTCAGTGGGAACCTCACCCCACTATTCCAGTACTAAAAGGATGGTTAGAAACAGAATGAAGGGTTTGTTGTTTTGTTTTGTTTTGGATTTTTTTTAGGTTTTTTGGTTTTTTTGGGTTTTTTTGGGTTTTTTTGGGTTTTGGTTTTTTGTTTTTTTCACAAGCATCAACATGGAGAATACAAGCTGCACCAGGATAGGGATCATCTTGAGTTAAGAATGAAATTTTTTAGAGTGAGAGCAGCCATTCATGGGAACAACCTTTTCAGAGATGTGGTGTGGTCCCTATCAGTGGAATTTTCCAAGAGGTGATTGCACAGGGTGTCAAATAAGCTCATCTTGGCTCCCTTTCTCACAAAATGTTGGATCAAATTGCTCATTCAAGGTCACCTCCAGCCTTGGTTGTGGATTCTATRAACTGCATTCCCTTCTGGAAGGTTTCTCCCATTTGTCACTGATGATGGAGAGAATCCAGGGAGAGACATCTTTGCAAAGGTAATTTCAGATTCTCAGCACAAAGGCAATCCTTTGCAAAGGTAATCTCAAATTATTAATTCATGCCCATTTCTGGTTGTTATTTAGCCTGGTTGTTGCAGGGCACTGTCCTTTAAGTGCAGTGAGAGACAGATGCTGAGAAGGAGGAGCCAAACACCAAATAAAAAGTCCGGATTTAAATTCCAAACTGCATTTTACTCTGGACTCAACCTGTCTTCATCCCTTCTCCCACCACTCCATTTCAACACCTGATTTTCAAATACAAACACTTAAATGATGGATGGGAACTTGGCGTATTTTTCCTCTATGACACAAAACTTCCCAGAACCAAGCAATTAAGGTTCTTTCCCTGGTCTCTGAGTTCCAGATATACTAAAAGTGAAGGTAAAAGGAGGTGACATCACCATGCAGCAATGAAACAAGCCTTGTCCTTTACAATCTAAGTTATAGTTTTCATTTTGGGACGTGAATTGTCCTGCAGTACCAGCACTYCACATTGACAAATCAATAATCAAAACAGTGGTGAGATACAGTAAATAGTCACAAAACCTGCAGCACAGAAAGTTTTTGTACATTTATAAAAGCAAAAGAAGAAAATTAGACAAGAAATACATTATGGACATGGTAGAAAAAAAATGCTTCAAGGAGCACTGCACACTTTTTTTTTTTCTTTTAATTGTGTACTGTTTTTAATAACACAGCCTTTCTAGCTCCAAAATACATTTCACAGTGAGAGAAATCAAACAAAGCACTGTTACACTCAGTTGATATTTACACAGGGATAGAAGCAAACTGCCTGTTGGATCCTTCCCTCTCGGAACAAACAGAAAAACAGCCACTGAGGGGTGGCCAGCACCTGCAGCTTACATTCAACAGAGAGATTTGTGGAGAGCTCGTTTGTGCGATGGCGTTGAGTCTGGATTCCAGAACCACGTGCACCTGGGAAAGCTGCAGTGGCTTGGGAAAAGCCACATCTGGCAGGGCGTCAACAATTTCACTCAGAGAAATAAACTCATAATAGAAGGGGGTGAGTTTTTTGGGTTTTTTTTAAATTTTATGTATTATTATATTAGTTTTATGTATTTTATATTTAGTACGTTGGGGGATCTCATTTCTTGTGATAAAGTCRGTGCTGGCAGACAGAACCAAAAGCTTTAATTTTTCTACTGAATAGGAAATGCAACATCTGCAATAGTAGAAATTTCCCCTCCACTGCTCCCCAAACTCCTGAGCATTGGCTCAAGGAATTAAGGGGCAAGTCCAAGTTTTCACAATTATCCCATCCTTGGACTCTCTAGATGGCACCACCAAAAATTAATGGTAATAACAATGTGCTGAGGCCAAATCCTAATTCCAGTTGAAGTGGGTTTATTCTAACAACAACAGTTTTCTCTATTGATTTTAATTTAGCTGAGGACCTGGTCTCCAGTGTGCAGGCTCGGAGGGTGGTTTTAGTGATGTGGACATTTGCCCACAAGGCACTGGACTGAGATCCACCAACTCAAATTGCAGAGCACTGTAGGATGGCCAGGAAAACAACAGAATCCAGGAGTAAACAACAGAATAATCATCAGCAACAAACAACAACAAAAATCAATTTTTAAAAATATCCAAACACCTTCTTGTTCTGGACTGAAACAAGGCAAATAGTCTCCAKCTAGAGGCAGTTATTTGACATCTTTTTCTCAAAAATTCTGATTTATTAGTGCTTGAAAACTGGCTACTGGCCATTCATGCAAAAAATAGTTTTTGATTGTTTTTAAAATAATACAGTATTTTCAATATAATCCTTGTGAAATCACATCCTATAGAAAATTGTCCAAGTATGCATTCACCTGATAAATCTGCCTTTCCCCAACTCTTTCTGGACTGCAGGACATGGTTACTTGGGAAATTTTCTAAAATAGCTTTTAGAAGCATCTAAAGTGAGAGGAAAGGCCAATCCATCAGTTAAAAATGCTTCAGGGACTTTTGCAGAGTGGGGAAGAGGGGGATAAATTCTGCTCTCAGAGTAGCAAATCAGTGCTGTAGACTTGGRAAAAAAAAAGGTGTTTGGATCACATAAATCCCACTCATGAACCTGGGGTATAATGGAAGTGATTTCAACTGTTTTGCTCTGTGCCAGGGTAGATTTCACATGACAGGGCTGTCCCCATCTCTTAAGAGCGTAATCCTGTACCAGTACGACCTCAAACAACATTTCTGTTTGTTTTGAATTAAATTTACATTCATTGAACAGATTATTTCCCATAAAGGAATATATAAGTGTTAAATATTATTATAATTAATATTTCTTTCACAACTTTCTGAGACCTTTTTTTTCTCCTTTTAAAAATAAGTGAACTAGAATTATTTGTAAAAATCTTTTCTTCAAATGACATCAAAACTCTTTTTCCTTTTTTACTTAAACTAACAAAAACCAGTGAAATTAAAAGCTCACACTCAGCTGACACTAAAATTCCCAATATTTCACTTTTTTTTTTTTTTTAGTTTATGATCATGTCAACTAACACTGAAGAACAAGCCTGAATTTTGAATTTCCTGGTTACTATTAGTTTCAGTTCAAAACTTCACATTTAAAATGCCATTTTTGTCTTTGTGATATATGCATACACATACACACACATATATATATATTTGATATATATATATATATATCTCAGTTCATAAATTCATAAATCCAAGAGGAAGGGAGCACTGGGATGGCCCTCAAAGCCTTTTTTTGCACTGCATAAAGACTCTTTAAGAATTGACATCATCGACACTGGGCTGAAGTAGATTTGTAGCAGTCGTGGCTTTAACTACAAGGCAAAGGTTGAAAGAACATTCGAGTTCCTCTCCAAGAAAAGCAGTAAGACCAAAGGTGGTAAAACAAACAGAATATCCCAAGAGAGAGAGAGAACTGCCAGGTGTGGGAAATCATCCAAAGTCTTTTTCCATTCCTTCCATGCCAACTTAGAGTCCAGTTTTGTTGGTTTTTTTTTCCCTCACAAAATGTGGGTGATTTTTACCTTCCAGGATCCTGCCAGGTCCTGCTCGCGCCTCCTTGCTCTGGCAGGGAAGGCTCAACACACAGAAGTCAATCAGGTTGCAAAGGCACCGCACTGTGTGTGACAGCACTGCCCAAAGCCATCAATGCCACGTCTGGCCACTGATGCAGAGGGTTCCAGGTCWTCTGGAGGGAAAGGCCACCCTGGAACCAACCCTTGCTCTGAAGATTAGAGGGAAGGGACAGTTACTTGTTTTATCCAAAGAGTCCAAATGATCAATCTATCAATCAATGCCAAAAATAGAGCTATATATCTCAACTGCATGGCCCTTTTAGAAAATTCACAGCTTAGCTAGAACAGAAAGCATTCCTGGACATGTCCCTGGGTGTGGGAAAGCTCAGCGGATCCCATCGGTCTCGCCTGAAGTTCCTGCACCGCTGTGCAGTTCCACAGTGGCACAGCTGTTCCTCAAAGTCCATTGGGAATGTCTGGCTAAATCCAGCCATGAATTCCATTTTCTGGAGATCCTCCCGCATCAGCTGGATTGATCAACCTAAGCACATTAGCTCCATCCTAAAACTCCAAGGAGAAACACTGCGGAAAGTCACGTGCCAAAAGACATGGGACAGGCTAAGACATGTTGGWCTAGGGGAAAAAAAATGGGCAAATCCAACCCAAAATGGAAACCGAGTGGAAAAATGACAATGGTTGTGTCCATTCACAGACTAGGATCAGTTTGGCAACTGAGGATCACAACTGCACAGCAATCACTTGTTACTTTGGACGGACAACGGATTACTCGCAGATGCTCTGAAATGGGAATAGTTGAGTGGGTGGGTTTGGCCTCGTTTGTCTTTTAAACATTCTCCATTAATGGCCTTGAGTACAGCTGGGTATTTACAGTGACTTTTAAAAAGAGATATTTACACAATTCCTTGCTTTTTCAGGGGAGGAGAGGAGAGGAGAGGAGAGGAGAGGAGAGGAGAGGAGAGG